AAACAGATTTAATTATTTCTGTTTTTTTTAAATTTATACATTAAATAAATATTATTTATTATTTGTATTTTTTTCCTGCGCAAATAAAACAAAGATGCATGATCCTTTAGTTTATTTAAATTATATCTTTCTTTTTAAGTTTTTATAGAGGGAGCTATATAGATTGGTAAACAGACGACCATAAGAGAAACCAGGACACTGCTTTACAACTATTTCCCAGATTGTAAATATATAAAAGCCAGCTACTTTCCTTATTGTGGTTATCAAGAAATGGGAAGATTAGATTAAATATTAAATTAGTGAGAGAATAAAAAAATACATAACCAGAGGGATTAAAAAAGGGTGATTACTAAGATTTTAAGAAATAAGAATTAAGGAAAGAAAACCATTATGAACTATTATAAAATTTTATCTTATAGTTTCCTTTATATTTGACTTATTTTATTATATTAGCCTTCTATTTTTGTTACTATTTAATAAATTATAATATTTTAAAGATCTTTTCGTGCCTTCGTTATTTTCATAATTTAAACACATAATATTCAGCTTTTTAAATCTTTAAAATGAGATAATTAATAAATCCTATGTGATTTTTTAAAAAGATATGATTTTTGCATAAATATTATCACACTTTGTAAACAAAGCAAGTCGTCAAGCAAAAGATGGCAAATCTGAGATAGTAATCCTTATAATCAAGAATAAATGTCTAATTAGATTTTTTTACAATCTTTTAAATTTCTTATAATTCTACAAACAATGACTTCTAATTTTAAAAAAATAAATTTATAATTTCGATATTTACTCATATCCTATTTACAGCGAAACTAAGTCTAATTAGATTCACAATATAATTCGTAATTGTTAAATAATATTAACTTTAAAAAATTATTTTTTTTTATCCTTAAGCCATTTATGGCGTAACTTAAAATTTCTTTTTGTTAAAAACACCTTTTATATTTTAAATCAATTTGTTTGTAAACTAATATTTTATAAATCAGTTTCTTTCTTTTTGTTAAAAAAACAACTTTTATATTTTAAATCAAATTGTTTATAAACTAATATTAAAATTTTATATTTTATAAATCAATTTACTTAACAAACTAATGTTCAATTTTTTATTTTTAATCAATTTATATAAATTACATTGTCAATATATATAGCAAACTTTTTTTTGAATATATCATCATTATTTTTTTTTAATCTAAATCTCAATAAACTTTTTATGGTGGCAGTTCCGCTACTTATTCGAGGAAGTCGTAAATAAATAAATAAATATGAAACAGATTCCCAATAATAATGTTAATATAAATATTGAATTTCCAATATACGCAGGCAATGGCGATCTTTTTTTGAGTAGATTTGAAGACATCTTCAAGGACAATCAGATATCGGACATCGAAAAAGCGGGTTCCTTTGCAAGAAGATTACCAGATGAGGTATACATCAAGCTTAAATCGATATGTTCACCTACCGACTTCATCAATCCATCGATATTGATTGAAAAATTCAGGTTATTACACCCGAGGAAATCTACAAGTTCCAACTTATTATTATTTAATGCAGCTGTACAAGGTAAAAACGAAAGTTACATCGATTGGGTAAGTAGATTATGCATTTTAAAAAATGAATGTTTGCTAAGTGATAGTAGAGTTATTGAAAAAGTAAAAATTTCGTCAATCAGCAAAAATATTAGGCAGAAAATTACATTAAAAGAAAACATTACATTAGAAGAAGTTCTTACTTTAAGAGATGATTTTGAAGAGTTAGAATTAAAAGAAAATATAATTGCTAAAGTTGAAAATATTTCTTTAAACGAAAAAACAGAAAATGATACAACCGTGAAACATATAGAAAGGCAAAGAGGCAGGAAAACAGAAGAAAATAAACAATTGGTGAGATATGGAGACCATGATGAACGACGAAATTTACAATCTAATTACGATAACAGACAACGATGGACAGCAAGAGGCCATGACTTTCAAAGAAATATTTATCAAGGAAATAATTATAACCCCAGTTACCAAGGAAATAATTACAACCCTAGATATCAGAATTATAACGCGAATTATTACAACGTCAGAGCAAACTATCCAGGATCGTACAATAATTCTTCGAGATTTGATAATAGAACTAGTTATATTAAAAATGACTATAATAATAATAGATTTAATAATGATTATAATTACAGATATAACAGACATTATAACGATTCAAGATGTATTCAAAGATATAATGATAATCATAATATTGGGAATCGAGGAACTAATCAAGTATGCAATTATAAATATCATAACAACGACAATAATCAATCACGATATACAAATAAAGTAAACACTGTTAATATAGAAGAGATAAAAGAAGATGATAATGACAAACTAGAAAGAAAAGAATATAATTTATACAATTTAGACAATTTAGACATAAACAATATGGATACCGATAATAATTACACAGCTAACGATGCTTACAAGGTCACGGTATATTTGAATGAGATGCCTATTTTGATGCAGATCGACACCGGGTCAAAGTATAGTATTCTACCGATTCATATCGCGAAAAAGATTGGAGTAAAAATCTTAAATAAATCAGATATTAAATTAACTGGTTATGATGGAAACACAATAAATGTTTTAGGAACTACCAAAGTCAAGGCAAAATTCGAAGACAAAAGTCAAATCTTAACTGCTTATGTAGTCCAGAGTGATAAGATTGCACTGTTAGGAAGGACCTGGATAGCAGTCTTTAGAAATATACTAGATAGATTTGTAAACTTAGTCGAAGAAGATTATGACAATACTATTCAAGAACTGATCAAACAATGCGAGTCAAAACTTAGCAAGAAACCAATACTACGCAATTATGTCAAATTTAATTCTTTGAATATCCTTCAACTCTCACTTGTTATTGAATCATTTTTCATCATTCCTGCTCAAATATTATATGTTTATCACACTATAGAATTCAACAAAGCAAGACCCTTACCCGATATCGCTCAAGAAGATCTCGCATCTCCCGAACTACCCTCACAAACCGCTACCACTCATTTAGGCTTTAGTTCTAGGGATTACGTTAGCGAAATGATAGAGAAACAAGCCGACGCTATTAGGGCCCTTAAGAATCACAATTATATTCTAGCCCGGAAAATTTACGAGCTTCAACAAAACACTAGCATGTACGACAACGTGGAAGAATGAATTTTTATATGCAAATACTTTATAAAAACAAACTTTCATTCAATTTTTTATATTCATATTCTTTTTTAGTAGCTAGAAGAGCGAGTGAACGAGTTTTTAGAGGGGGAAGAGGTCAGGAGCAAAATCAAAATCAAGATAAAAGTACGAGATCAAGTTCAAGTTCAAAGCCAGATACGAGATCGAAATAAAATAAGTATTCAAGAGCCAAGTCGACAATACAATTTGAGACCGAAGAGATTCATTGATTATAAATAAACTATATAAAATAAAATATAATTTTTTAGTTAAATTTGATTTTAGAAGTAAAAGGTACATGGACTTGGAATAAATAAAGAACTTAGGGATTACCTCAATATACGATACGAATGATGGGTACGATGAAGGGGGAAACTAAAAGAGAAGGAAATGTTATATTGTGGAAATAATTTAAATAAAATCACTCGAGGTGATAATGAAATATTTTATGTAAAAGTAAAATCGATTTAAATGTAAAAGTAAAGATCAATTTAAAAGGTAAAAAAGTTAAAAAAAAATGATTTATAACGATAAATTATTTTTTGTATATATTGTTATGTTTTTTTGTTATATGATAGTTTTTTGAAATTTAAATGTTATAATAAAAATAAAGATAAAAATTAAATATTTTTGGTCAATTTTAAATTATATCACAAATCGGAGAATTCGTAGAATTCTTATAGTAATAATTGCAAAAACTCTAGTCGTCGTAATAATTAAAAAAATTTTTATTAGGTTTTTAATATTTTCAGGTTTGAGTTTGAACTCAACTTTTATCATAATTATGTTTTACAATATCCAAATATATGTTTGAAAGATTTAAAAGAATGCAATATCTGCTATTGAATTAAAAAAAGTATAACATGTTAAAACTTGGCATATTTCATCACCTATTTATAAAAAAATATTTATTAAAATGTTTATCCAGATTTTTGCAGTTAAAGATTAAATATATACAACAATATATTTTATTGTGATTTTTTACAATAATATTAAGTTTTATCAATCTTTGGAAGAAGAATATGGAATATTTATAATTTATTCAAATTAATTGTCATTAATTATTTTATATAAAAATAACGATGGTAAGAAAAACGGTTTTAAGTTATAATTATTTTATTCTAAAAACTAAAAATGATATACTCAAAATAAATATAAAATAAGGTATATATTTATTATAAAAAAAACAATTTAAACGAAATATATATTCTAAGGCTATAATAACAATTTAAGTTAAATAAAAAAAATCAATCAATCAACATTCCCCTTCTTCTGAAAAGCCTTCCCATAATCCATCTGAGCTATCATAGAAAATATGTCGTTCAAATGGTTGTTCATTTTGATTGTTCAAGTCGTTCATAAATCATTGTAGTCGTTGGCTTGATTCTATCACGTTGGTTTGTTAATATCGTTTTGAGTACGCTGGCTCGTCGTCAAGCTCCGTCGTTATCATTGTCAATTTTACAAAATTGTTATTATCACCAATTGTAAAATTATCATTATTAAATAGGATTTCAGAATATATGAATAATTAGAGATTGATCAAATTTGGATGTTAGAATAATAAAAGGATGATAAATCAACTAGATTGTTAGATAATATTTTTAGCTTTTTTATTTTTTATATGATATTTTTCGCATTTTTATTTTTATTTTGAGTTTTAGTCTTTAATTTAATTTTACATGTTTTAGTATTTAATTTAATTTTACATGTTTTAGTATTTAATTTATTTTTACATGTTTTAATATACTAAGTTATATAATCTTTTAGATAAATAGGTTTTTGTCTACTTCATATCGGTCTAGGAGGTATTACAATATTTTTATCATTAGTTTTAATATTTTTGTCCTCACTTCCATCCTTCTTAGGATAATCATGGTATGCAAATGTGTTATAGCATTCTCTCTTTCTTAATTGGTCCAGGTGTTTCCTTGTAATACCTTTTTCTGTATAGACTTGGAACATAGTGTCGTTTTCCTTCAAATTAATTTTCCCTTTGTCATCTATATCGTGACCCAGGAACCTAACTTTATTTTTAAAAAATAAACTTTTAGCGAAGTTAGGTACTAACCCGTTCGATAATATTCTCTCAAAGACCTTTTTGATGTTGTTTAAATATGCTTCATCGTTATTTCCAGTTATAAATAAGTCATCAATTTAAAATATGACATCTTTCATATCACCGAAAATCTGATCCATGATTTGTTGGAATATAGCAGATAAAGTTTTCAACCCAAAAAGAAGTCTGGTAAATTGGTAGTATCCCATATGTGTAGATATAGTCAAAAATTTTCTGCTATTTTTATCGATCGGAACTTGTAGAAAAGCATTTTTGAAATCGATTTTGGTAAATTTTTTTCCTTCTGAAAGTTTAGCTATAAGATCATTTATACGTGGAAGTGGGTATCTAAAGTCTTCGAGAGCTGGGTTTATAGTGTCTTTAAAATCTGCGCAAAGCCTGATTCTCCCATCATCATTTTATACGGCGGTTATAGGACTCGCCCATCGCACATCATTTACAGGCTCAATAATTTTTTCGTGTATCCATCTTTTCAGTTCTTCGCCCACAAGATCAATCTTTGAATACGGTATACATCTTGGTGGTATTATTTTAGGTTGGGCGTCACATCTTAAATGTAATTAGACATTTACTTTGTTAATTGGTTCGCTAGTCAATTTGGATTCACAATCTTTAATAAGTTTATTGATTTCGTCTTCATAATTGGTATCGAAATTTCCTATGAATTTATTTAAAATATTTTTAAAGGCATTGATCCAGATTCTTCATAATAATGCGTTCTTTCTCGACTCATTAACTACTGCTAGTAAATATTTAGTAATTCCTTCATAATTTACTTTAACCTGAGTTGTCCCGATGATTTTAATCAAGTTTCCGTCGTAGGCTGTAAGCCGCAAACTGGATTTCTTCATTTCTCTTATACCAATTTTTTTAGCCATATCATGAGGTATGATGGTATATTTTGATCCAGTGTCGACCTGCATATTAGTAGTATTATTATTTAATTTTAAAGTAGTCATAAAAGCACTGCCATCACCTTTGTCTGTATTTTCAGCCAGGTTGTTGATATTGAAATCAATCTCATTATTATCTTTGGCAGTGTCAACTTTATTTTCCCCAATTTCTTCAATGTTCATATTACAATTATTGATATAGTAGAAGTTTTGATTATCATACTGGATTTGTTTTCTTTGATTAAAATCCTTCCACCGATTACGATCGTCATATTCGATTTGTTTTCTTTGGTTATCATTATTATGCCACCTGTTGTTTCCTTCATAACTTGAATTGTTGTTGTAAGATCGGTAATTATTATGATTTTGATCGTCGCTGAATCTGCCTCATCTGATTATAATTAAACCAGGCGTTGTTCCTACCATAGTTGTTGTTATAAGATTGATGATTATTATGATGAAAATTTCTGTTGCTCTTGTTATACCGATAATTGTAATTTTGATAGTTACTACTATTATACTGATCATTTCTATAGTTATTATTATTATAATTGTTATTGTTTCTAACGTTACTAAAATTCCTATTCCTGTTGTCGTTAATATTTCTAAAATTGTTATCACCATGATCTATTCCTACTGTCAAAATTTTCCCTCGAATAATAATTAGGTCTATTATAGTTACTATTAATCTCATTCCTATTAGAAATACTTTAGATATCTAAATTCTTATCATTATTTCTATTATTGTCATTATTATTAAATTTTTTATCCCTACTAAAAACATAATTAACATTGTCACTTTCTGATTTAATGTTATTACTATCTAATTTTCTTCCTATGTCAATCATTTCGTCTAATGTGCAGTTAATATTTTTATTTAATTTATTTTTTATATTGTCATTTACACTAGATGTTCTCAATTTTTCTTTTATGCGATATCATTAATAAAATTACATTGTCTACTTAATTTAGACAATCTAAAAAACCAATCCAAAAAAGATTCATTAATACCTTGTGAAGCAAGGTTATACTTTCCAGTCAATATCCAAACATCTTGACTGGGTAAAAAAATTTTTAATTTTTTAATTTTTTAATAATAATTTAATAATCTTTGATATCTTCCTTAGTACATAATGACTTAATTTTATCGTATAGGTCATCAGATAAATTGCTCATCAATGTTTCAATTTTTACTGAGTCGGATAAAATTGTTTGAGAGAAATAATCGTCAAGTTTTTCCAAGTATATGTCCGTTAAGGGTCCCTCCAACTTTGGGAACTTAACTTCCCTGTTGGAGGATATGCTAATTTTATCATCCATAATGCAGATTTTTATTTTATAAACTTATTTAAATTAGCAAAGATGCATATTGTCACTATTATGTATTCAATTCTTTTTTTCCAAATTTCAAATTTTTATTTTAATACTTTATTTACAATAGCATAATTTTTTTTTTTTTTTTACCTTGTATGTCCTTTATGTCCAATAATATTTATAATTTATTACATAATTTTATTTATCGGGATATGCACAATATATATGAGATTTTTTTATATATCATTGTGAGTTATCATTCCGGGGCACCATGTTATATAACAATAACGATGGTAAGAAAAACGGTTTTAAGTTATAATTATTTTATTCTAAAAACTAAAAATGAAATAAGATATATATGTATTATAAAAAAACAATTTAAACGAAATATATATTTTAAGGCTATAATAACAATTTAAGTTAAATAAAAAAATCAATCAATCAAAAAATTAAAATAGTTAACTATAATTTTGAATACTTAAATATAAAATTTATGAAAATTAAATTATCATTTCAAATAAGATAATATAGTATAAATTTAAATGTAATTCCATACCCTGCCAGTAACATCCTATTCTACAAGAAGCAAAATACCTTTAATAAAAATCTAAATAAAGAATTATTTTTTTATTTTATATGTCAGATGTGCTAGATCAAAATCTATGATATAGAATTCTTATTTCAAATTTATAAATCGTCGGCTTAATATCATAGTGTTCAATTAAATCAGGAAAGCATTTAGAAAAATATTTTATATATTTGTAATATCGAATCACAAAATGATAATTCGAAATTATATATTTAATATTTTTATTGCTCTGAAGAATTCATTTATCGTAAAAAATTTATTTTTGAGAAGTGGATATAGAACACAATAATACTAAGTGGATGATATGAATAAATTTTGTATATATTTTTCAAAATATTGAAGATAAATATTTAGACAATAAAAAAAGATATTAGCTATTTACAATCAGAGTTTGCAGGTCATCCGGAAAGAGAATTTAGTTATATATGAAGATCCTTTATTTAAAAAAATCAATTTTATAAACAGATACTATTATCTTATTCAATACCAAAGAGACAAAAGATACTAGTATTTTTTGCTAAAGGAGAGTATCTTAAATACAAAATACTTTTTATAAAATTAGCATTATCAATCAAAATTGGAATAGTTTATTGTAAAATACATTTTTTATTCTTTATTGCCGAAGGAAATAATATATTATAATAATAATAAACATATATAATGATTAATAAAATATTTACTGAAGGATTAATTATAATAATCTTCATTTAATATTAGTTTAAGCCTAATCATAACATTAACATGGAAGAGATATTTTTTAAGGGGGGGGGGGGGGAATTTAAATATTAATTCGCAAAAGAGTATTTTAAATTAATTTAATCAAATCATATATTTTAGGTATCGAAAAAATTAAATGCCCCTTACTCTCAACCCTTCCCTCTCAAAAATATAACTTAACAATCCAAAACGATCCTTTTAATAATATTAAATAAATATAATAAACATTACTATAAGTCCACTTTATTTATGCACATATAACATTATATTTCATAAACATATTAAATCTTCCCCAATCAATCCCGTCTTCATCCAATATCATGTCTTCTTCACTCCAAATCGCAAACAAAGAAACTTTTATTGTTCTTTTCTAAAAACAACCCATGTGATCATTTCGTTTTCCTCCCATCCACCAGGAAAACTAATTCCCCTGTCAGAAAATAACTGACATTTGATGTATTATATTAAATTTATTTCTTCTTTTTTTTCAACAGCTACAACATTAGGACAATCAGTTTTTCAAATAAATTATCATGATGCCTTAGCCGTTTCGGAGTATTTAACATTGTGACAAAACTGAATAACTTTTCAATTTTTTCACAAAAACTCTTTTAAATTTTTCTGTAGTTATTTATTTAATACAAATTGGCAAATAAATAATAAAATGAACAAAAAGTTTATATGTGCAATTGGGTTCCGATTCAAGAAAAATGGGATCAAATTCAGACTAGTTTAAATTAGTTTTATTATAAAACCCTATATATAGATTATCCCATAATTTAACGGTATTTTATAAAATTTATAAAGGAGCGATACCACCCCACATGATCTTTATTATTTTTTTGCTCTTTTTTCCTTATTTATCATGGTTTATATGATAAGATAGACATAAGATAAGATGAAGTGGGATAAGATAAGATATATCTGTAAACAGGATTTTATTGGGGAGGAGGCACTGCCTACGATAATTGGAAAGACCTTAATAAAAGTTATAGGAAATCCTCATCTATAAAATTAATTTAAGTTTTTTTTAAATTAGTCATTATTTTAGAAAATTATTAACTTTTGTTTATTTTTTCTCTTCATATTTTCGAATGATATATAAAATATATTTTGGGGGAGAGGGGGTTGGGGTTGATGGGAAATTCTTATTAATGTAAAATATTGCCCACCCCCATGGATATCTATGAGAAAAGATAAGATAGGCAAATTAATAAAATATAGGATTAGATAAGGTAAGAAGATTAGGCTATAGAATTTAATTTTATAAAGGATTTTTTTTATATATTTCATTTATTAAATATTTTGGATTAAAAAATCTTTTTATGAGCTCTGTTTACTGAATATAGTCAATTTCGTTTTCTGACCTTTTTCAAATCTATCTGTGGCCTTCTATAATTAGCATTTAACATATAGTACAAATAAATGTTAATAAAAATCTTGTATATTAATAAATTTAATATTAGTAAAATTTGTTTTTTTATCTAATCTTTTTTATTTATATAACTTTATTATAGTGATATATCAAATGGTGACATCTTTCTTATATTGATTCTTTTATGACACCTCCTGTACAAATTTGAACAATCATATAGAAAGTTCCACTTTATCTCTCTTCCTCTACTTACATTTAATTTGCAACAAATTAGCATTATATTTAAATTTGGCCATTAATATAATCAAGTATTCGTGGATCAAAATTAATAGAATTTGATATATTTTTTAGAGCGTTAAAATATTTTCCTGAGACTAAATTTCTAAGCTTAAATATTATATTTTAGCTAAAATTTTGATTTAACAATTTTTAAAATTACGCCTAAATCAATTTTTTAGCACTAACATTGTTAAAGTTAATTTGATATATTTATATTATATGTGTTTTTTTGATCATTGTTTTATAAACAATTGTTAAGATTTTTTATAGTACCTAAAAATTAATATGTGTTGATATTTATTAATCTATCTTTCCTTATATCATGCTAACAAGAATTTCTCTATCTTCATCAAAAATAATAATGTCTCTTTACAATTAAAGAATGGTATGTCCTGATAGATTATAATTAGATTTTTAGAAAATATTAAAAATAGATTCACATTTTCATATATAAATTCTTTTTTCCAAATAAATATGAATTATAAGCATTAGTTATAATTTATAAATATTAACTTTTACTTTTCAGTTAAATTATTGTAGATATTTATTTACATTTTTAGGGGACAGGGGATAGGGAGGGGGATAAAGAGGATATTTTTTAGGAACTCAATATTATATGCACAGAAATCGACTTATTTATGGCCAGACTGGCCAGACTGGCTACGCTTATGATTATAATATTACATAGAATAAAAATTGGTATATAATACATAATATTGTAGAAATAAAATTGGACATTTTTTGAGGATGCGTTCCGGAGCGTTCTAAATCATAAGAAGAAACATATTTCCTCCCTAAAAATATTTTAACCCAACCTCTCCGATGCTACCCACCCATCAACATCAAGAATGAGCTATTATTTATGGTGATAAAAATATTCCTGACTGCCCAAAATATAGACCAAAACTTAAAGTGATATTTAACATTTTGGTCAAAATATATTTGTATTACCTACGCTTATAATGGAATTTATTATTAACAACTCTCAACAATGTCACTGGTTGATGATCCTTCATTTGCTAAAATGATTGAGACATTTTCTCCGACTATAAAAATTATTTGTCGTCAAACTATGGGCAACAATTTATTTATTGCCTTTACAGATAAGACCACAAATCATATAAGTGATTTGTCTGAAGTTTCATATGTATGCACCATTCCTGATTGTTGGAGTGGTCATCGAGCCTATATTATATTTATTTTATAATGTTTTAGGACTTTTACGAGTCACTCGTTAGAAAATCAGTAGCTTTGAATGAGGCGCATAATTGGAAATCAAACGTATGATTTTGGCTAAGAAAATTATTATTTCCAAGACTTGTAAAATTCATATTAAGGAGGTAAAAATGGTGGCCAATGGCAACAATTGACAAGGCCTTTAAGTAATATTTAAATTTAACAAAAAATATATTAAAAAGAA